GATCCTATCATAAAAAATTATCTGAACCGAAATGTCAGTAACATTGAAGTTGAAAAACACTGACCATGAGACATTTTTTTTTTGTTTTCCTGAGCTTCAGCTCTGAAAATTGCAAAAAAATTTTCCACCTGATGTTATGAGCAAATGTTTATATGTACATAACACGCTTAAAGTAGGTGTTTATATTCCCATTATACTTTTAAAATTGTGACTCAAAAAGAGAAAGGAGTTGCCCAAAGACATGCAGCTAGTAAGTGTTGGGTCAAAGATTTTAACATGTCTGCAAAGTCTGATTCATTCTTTGGGAAATGAATGAGAAATTTGAGAAATATGCCCTTGGCTAGGAAATATTCAACCTGTATTGCAGGTCTCTGTCTCTGTATTGGTTTCACTGAAGTTACCTCAGATGGTTGGATGGTATGGTTAATTAAAAAAAAATGAACTCCCAGGAGCTCATAGTCAACATGGGGGTGCTACGGCATAAGAATGGAATTAGGCAGGATGCGCAGGCTCACGCCTGCAAACCCAACACTTTGGGCTCTAGGAGGCTGAGGCAGGCAGATCACTGGAGGTTGGGAGTTTGAGACCAGCTTGACCAACATGGTGAAAACCCATCTCTGCTAAAAAATATAAAAATTAGCTGGGTGTGGTAGCACATGCCTGTAAGCCCAACTAGCTATTCAGGAGGCTGAGGCAGGAGAATCACTTGAACCGGGGAGTGGGGTGGGGAGAGAGATTGCAGTGAGCCAAGATTGAGCCACTGCTCTCCAGCCTGGGAGACTGAGTGAGACTCTGTCCCAAAAAACAAACAAACAAACAAACATAATTAGTCATTATATACTACTACTGTGTGGTATTTAAGAGTTTATTTAAAGGCATAATGAGGAGTTCAGAAATTCAACAGAGCTTAAAGGAAATGGAATACAGATCTAATTTTGTCATTGTCCCAAGGTGACCTAAACAACACACAAATGCTGAAGTCTGAGCGTGGTGCTGCCTTGCTAGTAGATGGAAGCTTTGGAAAGGCTCTTCATTTCCTGGCAAGCATCATTTTATGTTAACACTATTATGAATAAGGTTTCTTGAGGTCTTAGATTCATTTTGAAAGTGCTATCCACTATTTTTGTACTTCAAAATGGCAGACCCTTGAAATACTCAAAGAATATTTTACTTGTAGATTTTTAAACTGCATAATAAATATTACTCAGTCATAAGCATTATCGGTCATCTACAATATTCCTATTCCTTAATGCCTAAGACCATATTAATTGAAAAAAAAAAAAACATGCCTTAGGGGAAAAAGTAAAAGTTGGGTATGGACGGTGAGGAGGAATTGGGATGGTGGGAAAGAGGGCCTGTGATACAGATTATATTATCTTCATTGATAAACACTGAATACACTCTCCCATCTTTCCTTACCAGCAGATTCACCTTCAACCTTCTTGCTTTTACCTAATTTAAATCGTTGCTTTATTCACACCTAAAACAGATATAGTCATAGGTTCATGTTCAATGCAGCATTTTGTGTACAGACTACAAATTCTGCTTTACAAGTTATGGGAGGCAGAAGGAACACTGCTTGAGTTTTTGGTTTGCAAGTTGAGCTTGCAGCAGGGGAGACGGAACAAACTTTGGACTTTGAAACCAATCCAACTTGTAAATCATCAAGGAAAAATGAAATTGAAAATTAAAAATTAAATCTATCCAGGTCTAGCCTAGGAAAAACCTGTAAAGTTCCAAAAATGAAGATTTGTGTTCAGTTCACGCACATCCTGTCCCCAATATTCTGTCCTGCTCATTCTCCTGGAAAGCATGTCCAACCCTTGGTAACACTTTTTGTTTAGCTGATTTGATATCACTCCCCTCAGCATAGCTGATCACCCCTAGTAACACCAATTTTCCAAGACCATGTTTCTTCTTTCCATTCTTTTTTTTCCGACTACTACACACATTTTAACAGTGGTTTTGGACATTGTAATTCATTCCAGAATAGTGATTTTGATCCTAATATTTTCATTTTGTCAGGAGAAGGGAAAGCAGTCCCAAGACAAGTTGGTAGTAGGAACTGGCAACAAGGAGTCATCTTTGGGAATCTCCAATCATACTGGGTGGCCACCTACTTTGCTTCCAAGGAGCAGGCAAAGTTAAGTAGAATATGGAATACATTTCTCTAGGTATTTTCTTAATGATCTATTGAGGAGAACACAGTGTTGATACTGAATGATCGTTATTGTTGATACTGTATACAAGCCTTGTGTCAATAAGTAATGACACACCTCTTGACTTCAGTTTGCCCATGGTTACTTAGTAAGGTTGATGACCAAGCTGTTTATTTTTATTTGACAGACAACACAATTTAGTAATAAGAGGCAATAGCCTAGATAGAAGAATCAAGAGTGTTAGGTATTCTTGTTCTCTTACAGCTAAATTGTGGCAAATTACCAAACTTCTGAGTCTCAGATTGCTCTCCCGTAATATGGAAATTTAAAAAGCCTCTTACTAGTCTAGGAGTCAAATGGAAAAATAAACACAAAAGGGCTTTAGCAAAATATAAAATTCTTCACTGATAAATCATCATTTATCCTGTTTCTGTCCCCAAAGGGAGTTAAATTTGCATTAACTCCTCTACTCCCTCTCAACTAGTCCTCCTCCTTGAGAACAACTTAAAATATTCATTTTGTAAAATAGATGCCCCAGTTAAGGGGTATGGCTAGAATAAAGCCACCATCCCCAAAAGAAAATGAATCTATAGCTAAAGTTAGTGAGATCATATAAGGAAGACAGTGGTCTGACTGCTCTCATATCATAGTTTCAAGAAGGAGCCGATGAACTGAGTTGCACGAACACTGAATTGCTCACTGGCAAGATGCACAGTGTCCAATCAGTCCATTCTGATTTGCAGAATGTCATTAGATCACTAGCACCTAATAGGTGGATGAACTCAGTGTACTCAGGGGTGAACAGGTGTCTCACAGCTGGGAGCTGCCAGAGGGCCAAGGTGCAATCATGAAACATGTTTTCTGAAATTAGCTCTGATGATTCTAATATTGAAAGTATTATTCCATAGAGAAATTTTTCAAAGAATATGCAGAGCGTTTGGTAAATACAAAATTGAACATTGGAAAATTTAAAAGAATTTTGTTTCATTATAATCACTGAATGGTAGTGTACAGAATTCCATCTCTACGGTTGGAAGTTGCATCTCTGTACAACAGACAACTGGATCTGAAGTTTAATCTCTTGCATGGATATTACCATGATTATGTATAGAAATTACTCCAATCAAGGTGAACAAAGCTGAAATGATGCTGTGTTTTTTTGTTTATTTGTTTGTTTTGTTTTGTTTTTGGCTGAGTCTTGCTCTGTTGCCCAGGCTGGAGTGCAGTGGTGCAGTCTTGGCTCACTGCAACCTCTGCCTCCCAGGTTCAAGAAATTCTCTTGCCTCAGCCTCCCAAGTAGCTGGGACTACAGGTGCATGCTGCCAGGCTTGGCTAATTTTTTTGAATTTTTTTAGTAGAGGCGGGGTTTCACCATGTCGCCCAGGCTGGTTGGTCACAAACTCCTAAACTCAGGCAATCAGCCCACCTTGGCCTCCCAGGATGCTGGGATTACAGGCGTCAGTCACTGTGCCTGGCCTGCTGTGCTTATTTTTAAAAATTTCTGTCTAGCATTAGTTGGATAGACTCGGCCAAACTTTGAACCCAATTCTCTTCTCCAATGATGAGAGGTGACATAAAACTATCAAAGATAACCTTATGCAGCACAATATATGATTATAAACAGGTTGAAACTTACACTTCCAGAAGCAGCATTACATCATCCTGTATTTGATAAAATGATCAGTTTGCCAAGGAAGGAGGACCCTACACACCAATGTTCCAGCATTAGCACTACTTTTCTTAGCTTGCGTCATAAATCCTGTAGTAAAGTAACTGATTTCCATCTATAGGCATACCTTGGAGATATCACAGGTTTTGTTCCAGACTACCACAATAAAGCAAATATTGCAATAAAGCAAGTCACAGGATATTTTTTGGTTTCCCAGTGTATATAAAACTCACACTGACACTACACTATAGTGTATTAAGTGTGCAACAGCATTATATCTTAAAAATATATATATACCTTAACTTTAAATATTTTATTGCTAAAAAATGCTAACACTTTAGCCTGAGACTTAATCTTCTTCCTGGTGAAGGCCTCCACAACAGAAATGCTGCTATTAGGCACTATCTGAGTGCCCAATGTTTCTTCAGGGTTATTTCACAGGCTCCTGACCCTGAAGCCTCTGAGTTATTCCAATGTTAAGCTCACTTCTGTGAAAAAGAGGTGAGGAAAAAAGACCAATAGCGGAAGGCCAGCTCCAACGCAACAAATATATTTAAGTTTCTCTCATCTTAGAATATTTATTCACATTTTCCTTTAAAGTCTATTTTTAGGTGAGAGCAGCTTTATTCGTACCTACTTAGTGGCTGCTTTCTAGCAGTAAAGTAGATGCTTTTGCAGAATTCTATTCTTCCTTTTTTTTAAAAAAATCGCCCAGGCTGGAGTGTAGAGGCGCGATTTCGGCTTACTGCAACCTCTGCCTCAGCCTCCCGAATAGCTGGGACTACAGACGCGCACCACCGGCTAACTTCTGTATTTTTACTAGAGACGGGGTTTCACTCTCTTGGCCAGGCTGGTCTGGAACTCCTGACCTCAGGCTATCCGCCCGCCTCGGCCCCCAAAGTGCTGGGATTACAAGCGTGAGTCACCACGCCGCTGCCCTGCCTTTTTATTAAAGCTACAAAGCACACACAGCCTTCGCTTCAGGGGAGCCCCGCCCCCCCAGCCGGAAGCCCCGCCCCCTACTTCGGGCATCCAGCCAATGCTGTATTTTCTAATGGCGTGAGGCAGAGCTATCGCGAGACTCCGCTGTATTCTTAGCAGGTTTTTAACAGTGTGGACTTGCGCAGAAGAGACTCATGAAGCCAGAGCAGGAGAAAGGGGCGGGCTCCCCGACGCGCGCATTCGCCTTGACCCCACGCTACTGCGCGCGCCCGGCAGCCAGGCGCTGTGGTTTCTGGGTCTCCCCGGGAATCCCTACACGATCCCACAGAAAGCTCTTCTGCCGACCTCAAGCGTATCTTCTGTGGGTGGCAAATGCGTGCCTGTGATCTGTGGAGTCTGTAGAGGAGCGCAGGCCTGGTGCAAAGAGACTCAAGAGGCTCGAAGAACCCGCTAGGGTAGGCGCTTGGGTGATGGAGGGTCAGGGGTCAGAGGTCGGGAGGGAGGCAGTCTCTGGCCTTCCGGACCAGGGAGAGAGGACTCTGGTTGTCCTGGAGCCCGGGAAGCTCAAGGACTGCGAGGGAGTCGCAGCGCGAGTCTTCCCCACCCCTTCTCGATCCCGGACGAGCGAGCACCGGACCACCACGGCTCTCCCGGGATAAAGTGGGGCAGTGGGAAAGGATGCTGTGCTTCTCCCCCTGTATCGTGGCCTGAGGTGTGTCTCGAGCGCCCACACTTTAGGATCCGGGGTCCGTCGTCGCTCTTTCCGGCCTCGCGGTCGCTTGTTTGCTGGGCCTCCTGGGAGGGATCCGGCGCTGAGAGCCCCGCTCAGTCTCCGGGAGCCGCTTGTGGGTCTTTAGGAAGATAACTGAATGGGTATACTGTGCGCAGCAGATCTGCCCCCCGCTCCCCGCCCGCCAGGCTGGAACTGGACCGCCGCCTCCCCTCTTTATGCACGGCGTTGTGTTAGTAAATGGGGAGACCGAGGCTTCTCGGTGCGACTCGGAGTTCTCCGTTACCTTTGGAGCCAGATTAATTACATTCGAATCTTTCAAATTCAGAACCTCCCTTGCACATTGTACAGTGTGACTGGCAGTTGCTAGGTTTAGGAACGAAAGTAGGGTGTTACTGATGATTGATGGTCACTGTATAATAAATACAGTATTATTAAATAATGACCAGGAAGCTTGTATCCTTTTCCCAAGTAGTTTGACATTAGCACGAGATAGAAGTCAGAGATGTGGGATGCCTTCCAACTTTTACTTAAGGAACTTGGGGCTTTATCTGAACAAAATAAGATGCTATTAAAGTCATTACTGTTATTTTAAATTATTCCAGTAGACATTAGTAGGAATGATGAAACTCTCTTGAATAGAAACGATCCATAATATCTGTATTATCACCCAAAAAACTATTGGTTTGTGATTAGTAAACATGCTAGAGACGGAGGTCCTGAGCAGTGTTGTAATAATTATGTCTGTGCTCATTAACCTGCACTTTCTGGAGCTTTGAAGGACCAGTTAACCAGTAAGCTGGTAGTTGAGAATAAAGTAATTTACTTTTGAGAGATGCTCCTATATATCCTCTTCATACACCAGAAAGGAGCTGGACTTGTAGAATTATTAAAACAAAGCTTTTATTATTAAGAGTTTAGGCTAGTAAGATTTAGAGGAAAAAATTTGCTGATGAAAAGCTTCTTATAAGGGCGTTTTTCAAGTTTATGTAACTAACATATTTTAGCATTCAGTAGATGAAAATACTCTCACCTTGCTGGAATTTCTGCAGAAAAGGAAAAGATTGTGTTCATCCTGGGTCATTAAGAGCTTCCTAGTACTTAGTAAGGAGTGGGCTTCGCTTCCATAAAACAACCCTTTGGACAGGAATATGGCAAGTGTATAATCCCTTTTGCCCTTGATAGCCTGAACCGAGGTCTACCATGGATTTGTTGTAATTCAGGGTTTGTATGTATCTTTTAAAGACGAAGTAATATTTTGGAGGGAAATATGTGAATTTAAAGTTTGTTATTCATTTGTTGGATTGTCTTAGTAATTTAACGTTTTACATTTATTTTTCTAGGATTCCCTCCTTGTTTTCTGTTAAAAGTTACAGTTCTGTCAGGTTTCCCTGCCTCATTCTAGTATTTCATTAGATTTCATTTTTCTCTGAAATATGAAAGTATAGTTTCATATTACCTATAGTCTTCTAGAATGTGGATAAGAGAGAATTCTCCAAAAAGAAATGTGAGTAAAGTACCAATAGGTCCTCAAAAGGAAGGAATATATCCATGGAGTTAGAGATCTTTGTTTCACCCTTTTAGTATGTCTTTACTTCCTAGCACTGACCTGCTAAGAAGGTCATTGGGAGTACAACATTAGGAGTACAACACTAAATGTGAAACTACTCTTGCCCATCTTTCAAAGTGAGCGCTATAACAGTTCGATGGAGGAGAGAGAGGCCCTTAACTCAGCTTCTCTAGTCATGGAAGGCTTTCCAGGGAAGACTGGGATGGAGACAGGCATAAAAGCAGTTCAAGCAAAAGGCTTTTATATTTAAATACAGGACAATAAAAGTGTGGTCCATGTATAAAACTTCACGTAATCATGTTCTACCCAAACACTGCTAATTAAGGAGGAAGAAGTAGTTGTGATTGCTCAGGTATGAAGAAAGCTAGACGAATATGGGAATTTCTTCTAGTACAGAGTTTCACCAGTACTTGACTTACTAGTGGCCAAATAGCATTTTAGTCCTAAGTATTTTTGACCAAATACTATTTTCTTTCGTTCAAGAAGTTAACTTGGAATAGAGATTTTCTTGAGTCAACCAAAACCAGGAGCTTTTTGTTTGTTTGTTGATTTTTTGATTATGAATGTTTACTCAGTTAAGAACTGGACAAAGGGAGAACATTGCTAGAAATTCTGGTATTTACTTGTCTGCAATTTATCAGTATCATTGATAAGTACCTTGAGGCACTAGTATTGGAAGAATCAGGTTGAAAGAAAACATCTGAAGGAATGTGCAAATTATAATGGTGTACATAATTTAAAAGATACTAGATGGATTTTACCAGAAAACAGAACAAATAGTTGAAGTAATGTTTTCTGTTTTGGTAATATGTCCATTACAAAAATTATTCTAAGAAACATGGCACATATTCTCACATTCCATTGGCTAGGACTGGTCACGGAACCATACTAAGCTGGGCAGCCATTTCTCAACTACTCTATACTTTGAAAGGAAAGAAGTGGATTTTAGTAGGCAGCTGGTTATCCATAACAAGGTTTTTCAAATTTGGCTGCACACTGGAATTTTTTAGGGATTATGAAAAGTAAAGGGGTAGTGCCTGTGTCCTTCCCCAAGACATTCTGATTTAGTCGACTAGGCATCAGGATTTTTTTTAAGTTCCCCTGGTGATTCTAATATGCAGTCAAATTTGAGAAGCACTGATCTGTGGTCCCCCATTTTGCCACATTAAAGTTTGGTTATTGTAAAATGTAGTTTGGAGCAAGAGTCCCCAAACCCTGGGCGACTGGTGCCAGTCCATGGCCTGTTAGAACCAGGATGCACTACAGGAGGTGAGCTGTGGGCAAGCGATTATCACCTGAGCTCTGCCTCCTGCCAGATCAACAGTCAGTAGATTATCATAAGAGCATGAACCCTCCTGTGAACTGCATATACGCAGGATCTAGGTTGCCTGCTTCTTATTAAAATCTATTGCCTGATGATCTAAGACGATTTCATCCCTAAACCACCCCCTCCACCTCCTACTTTTCTCCTCCAGTCCATCGAAAAATTATCTTCCATGAAACCCGTTTATGGTCCCAAAAAGGTTGGGAACTGCTGGTTTAGAGTATCCTCAGGATGATGATATTTAGCAACTACCATCTGAATACAGGCCAAATTTCTGGTACTGCACAATTGTATTTAAATTACTTCTAACCACAATCCTGCTATCATCCCCATTTTAAAGATGAGAAAACTGGCACAGAAGACTGGATAACTATTCCAGTGCCACACAGTTAGCAAATGCCAAAGCTGGAATTAGAATGAATTTAAGACTTTAAAGTGTTGCATTCTCATCTGTAAGCCACATTGCTTTGCAAATGTGAGACTGCTAGACAGTTGTTTTTTGGGTTTTCAGAGTTCATGATTCCACAGTAACTAATATTATTATTATTCCACAATAATTAATATTATTATGATATTATTATGGTTAGTGTGGAACGTTGTGTAACTGGCTTATTTCCCTCCCTCCACCCCCTTTATGCCTCCACCCCCCATATCCATGTTCTTTGCCATCTGCAGTTTCACCCAGTAAAGAAGTGTAGTATAATTCTCCACTACTTGACATTGGGTCCATGGATTTGACTTGTTTTGGTCACTGTGGCACCTTTGTGGTTTTTAAGCACTTCGAAACTACTTGTGTGACTGGATTTGCACTAATACACCTCAACCATTGCCATAAAGAACATTCCTAGGTTACTTTGCTGATCCAAGTAGTGGGGATAAGAACTACATTAAGCAGAGCCAAACTGCTCTTCCAGAAACCTAGCCTAGATCAGCCCCTTTCAGCTAATGTGCAGATGTGTGAGAATAATTGATTATGATTGCTGTATCAAGGCATTGAGCTCTGGAGTAGTGTGTTATACAGCATGTTGGGTGGCAATAGTTAACTGATAAGCTGGTATAGCCGAACTTTTTAAAGTTCTATCAGAGTAACCCACTTTCAGTATTCCAGCTTGTGCTTTGAGGAGAGCTGGACAAACATAAACACTTAGGAAATTAAGAACTTTCTATAATATTCCTCCAAGATAAGATAGGATAACACACTTTAAAAGTAGGTAACCATATACAAGGATCGATTTTAATCCATCACCTGCACATTCATAAGTGAAGTACTGGCTAAGGGAATAGAATTCTCATGATGGACTTAAGCACTGTTTGACATATAGACTTTTTGCAATTATGTGAATGTTCTATATTTGTACTGTCCAGTGCAGTAGCCACCAGTCACATAAGGCTGTTGAGCACTTGAAGTGGGGCAAGTGAGACCGAAGAGCTGAGTTTATAATAACATTTAATTTTATTTATAGTCACACATCACTTAATGATAAGGATATGTTATGAGGCAAGTTTGTTGTATGAACATCTTAGAGTATACTTACACAAACCTAGATGGTACTGCCAGCCTACTACACACCTAGACTCTATGGTACAGCCTATTGCTCCTAAGCTACAAACCTGTACAGTTTATTACTGTACTAGATACTGTAGGCAGTTGTCACACAGTAGTATTTGTATATTTAAACATATCTAAATATAGAAAAGGTACAGTAAAGGTATGGTATAGAAGACTTATCATGAATGCTGCTTATAACACTGAAAGTTGCTCTCAGTGAGTCAGTGAGTGTGGAGGCCTAGGACATTACTGTACACTTTTGTAGACTTTGTAAACACTACACAATTAGGCTATGGCTAAATTTACTAAAAAATAAAGTAATGAACTATGATGTTACAATGGCTGTGATGTCACTAGTCCATAGGAATTTTTCAGCTCCCTTGTGGAACCACTGTAATATTTGGTCCCTTATCAACCAAAATGCTGCTATGCAATGCATAACTGTATTTAAAATTAAGTAGCCATATGCAGCTAGTAACTACCTTATTGGACTTGCTTTGGCCAATAGTAGATAGAAACTACTTCCTTGGATCTGCCAAGGAAAGCTTCCTTCGAATCACAGGGCTACCTTGTTCCTAAATAAAGGTTCAGTCATCAAGGAAGGGGAGGATAGATCTTAGGCAGGTAAATAATATTTTAGTTTCTTTTATGGTTGTTAGTCTATTCATGTTTTCTTTCTAGGGCCAGTTTTGTTCATTTGTATTTTGTTAACAAATTACTCATTTTATCTAGATTTTTCAGGTTTATTAGAATAAAGTTATACTTCATATTAAAATTTATAAATCATGCATCTACTTTTTGTTTTGCTCTTTAAATCAACTTTAAGATGTAATTTATATATTAAAAAATTCAACAATTTAAAGTATGTAATTTGATGAGTTTTGACAGGTATATACTATGCAATCATATGTTGAACATTTCTGTTACCCCAAAGCCTACCTTCCAGCTTCTTTGCTCTCAGTCACCTCTTTCTACTTCCTTGCCCCGGTAACCACTAATCGCTTTCTGCAATTAGTTTTTTGCCATTTCTAGAATTTCATGTAAATGAAATCATATAGTTTATAGTCTTTCACATCTGGCTTCCTTCAGTTTAGCATAATGCTCTAACAGTTCATGTCATTTTATAGAAGTCTGTTTCTTTTTTACCACAGAATAGTATTCCATTTGTGTGACTATGCCGCAATTTGTCCATTCACTAGTTGCTGGACATTTGGATTTTCTTCCAGTTTGGGACTTTTGATAGTAAAGTTGTTAACATTTAAGTTTTAGGGTTTTGTGGATTTATGTTTTGACTTCTCTTGGGTAAATACCTAACAGAGGGATTACTAGGCTGCATAGTAAGTTATATTTAATTTTATTAGAAACTCATAAGCTTTTCCAAAGTGACTATACTGTGTTCAAATGGTTCAGTTCTGCTTGAGCCATACTCAGTGTTTTAAATTTGTGACTATTCTAATATAGTGGGCATCTCATTGTGATTTTTGGGTTGAATTTGCATTGCTTTAATGACTGATGGTGGTGAAAATATTTTCATGTGCTTATTTTACACTTATAGGTCATCTTTGATGAAATGTCTGTTCAAAATTTTTGACTATTTTTTAATTAAGTGTCTTAATCAGATACTTGATTTACTAATATTTTCTCCCATCTATGACTTATTGTCTTATTTTGATGACAGTATCTTTGGAAGAACCAAAATATTTAAATTTTTTTTTTTTTTTTTTTTTTTTTTTTTTTTTTTTTTTTTT